TACATTATTTTGTATTATTTTTTATTAAACCATTTTTAAATGCTCTTAATATCTCTTTGCCATAGAGATAAAAATAGCTTCTGAGAATGTGTATTATAAGAATTCAATGAGTCAACAATTGTAGGTATATTACCTCATGCCCATTTCTACACTTCCTCAATTCCTAAAATGTTCATACAAAGTCTTGTATTCTGTAAACATAAAGTATTTTACTTCTGCCATTAAAAGGAAATTAATTTCCTGACTTAATCTTTTTATTAATGAATTGTTTAAAATTGTTTGAAATAACAATTATAATATTCAGTTTTTCATGTATGTACGTATGTTCAGAATGCTTGGCAGCTTAGGATGGGTTATAACACTAGCGATAGTCATATCGTTAGCAAAGGCAAATTATCCACCTCCAGAAAGATTGACAGGAATGAATCCATGCATTAGTAAGCAAACATGTCACGAATGTATTCAAACACCACATTGTGCTTGGTGTGCTGCACCAGTAAGTTTTATGATCTGTCATATAAATTTATATAAATATTTATAAAAATATTAACTAATTGTATTTCATATTTATTTTATTCTATCTTCTAGAAATTCTCTGAAAAACGGTGCTTTCTACCAAATATAAATACCAAAATATTTGCAACATGTCCGGCAGAACATACTTGGAACCCGGATAATGTTTTTAGTATGACAAGACATCGAAATTTAACAAAAGGTGGCTATACCATTGGTGGTGCCAGTAGTTATGAGTACTCATACTCAAATTCTAGCTCATTTAGCTCTAGCTCTCAATCAAGTAAAGAAAGCAGTAGTAGCAGCAGTAGCAAGAGGCAAGAAGCTGTGCAAATCTGGCCCCAAGAAGTTAATTTAAAACTTAGAATAAGTATGTTATTATAACTTTTACATAATTTAAAAATATTTTAAGGGAAGGTTATTTATTTTTAATAACACTGATACTTTCAGATGAAGCATATAGAATGAATTTTGCTTATTCACAAGCTGAAGATTATCCTGTTGATCTGTACTATCTTATGGATCTAAGTAAATCTATGGAAGATGATAAAAAGAAATTGTCAGATTTAGGCCAACTCTTAGTAGAAAGTATGAGCAAAATTACAAGTAATTTCAGATTAGGCTTTGGCAGTTTTGTTGATAAAGTTGTAATGCCTTATGTTAATACAATGCCAAAGTCGTAAGTATCTAAGTGTTATAATTTTGCAATTGTTGACTAGATTCTAATAATATTTTATATTAGATTCCAATAATATTTTGTAACAACAAATTTATGATCCTTTTTGTACTTCAGGTTAATAGAACCATGCGATGGATGTGCAGCACCATATGGCTACAAAAATATTATGACTTTGTCTCAAGATACTAGTCATTTTGCAGTAAGTATATAAAGAATTAAATTGTGTATATTTATTTACAATATACACATGTTTACTTGTTTTATTTATACAGAGCTTAGTACGCAATGCATCAGTGTCTGGAAACTTAGATGCACCAGAAGGAGGATTTGATGCCATTATGCAAGCTATTGTTTGTAGAAGACAAATTGGTTGGCGCGAGAAAGCTCGTAGACTTCTGGTATTTTCTACAGATGCTGGTTTTCATTATGCAGGAGATGGAAAGTTGGGTGGAATTATAAAGCCAAATGATGGCGACTGTCACTTAGATATTACTGGACTTTACACGCATTCTTCTTTACAAGACTATCCAAGTATTTCTCAAATCAACTTAAAAGTTAAACAAAACGCTATTAATATTATATGGGCTGTTACTGTAGAACAATTTGATGTATATAAAAAACTAACTGAACATGTAGAAGGATCTTTTGCTGGTAAATTGTCGGAGGATTCGAGCAACGTTGTAGAATTAATTCGAGAGCAATATGATGCAATTTCAAGTTCTGTAGAAATGAAAGATACGGCCAGCAGTGCTGTAAAGGTAAAATACTTTTCGAGATGTTTGGGTCCAGGACCACTTATTCAGACGTCGAAATGTGATGGACTGAAAGTTGGCACACAGGTTGAATTTATAGCAGAAATTGAAGTTACAAGTTGTCCAGAGAATAGATCAGAATGGAGACAGAAATTTGACATTTATCCAGTAAGTATATGTATAAAGCTGTAATGTACATGTTATTGTAACTGCCTGTGTGACTCGAAAGGAAAGCTAGACTATTTCTTAAAGGATTATTTCTCTCGGTTTAGGTTGGTATTAATGAAACTCTTACGGTAAATTTAGAAATGTTATGTGATTGCGAATGCGAACGTGAAGGCGTCATGTATGAGCCACAGTCATCAGAATGCAATGGTGTAGGAACTTTAAAATGTGGCGTCTGTGAGTGTTATGACGGATTTTTTGGAAAACGTTGTGAATGCAGTTCTCACCACGAGATGACAGGACTTGATAAACACTTCCAAACTTGTAGACCTGATAATACATCCCTAGTAGATTGTTCAGGAAGAGGAACCTGCGCCTGTGGCCAATGTGAATGTGAGGAAAGAGAAAATCCCGAAGAAGTAAATATACATACAAATTCTATGCAGTTTGAATTTTTGAAATGAAACTTTTAATCTCATGTTACTATTACTTTTAGATAATATCGGGTTATTTCTGTGAATGCGATAACTTTTCATGCGATCGAGATCAGGGTTTCTTGTGCTCAAACCATGGAACTTGTGAATGCGGACAATGTGCCTGCAACGCTGGCTGGACTGGACCCTCCTGCAATTGCAGATCTTCTAATGATACTTGTATTGCACCTGGCACTACAAACGGAATATTGTGTTCAGGCCATGTAAGAATCCAAATATTGTAAATCATTTTTATTAACATAAATCAGACAGTTATATTAGTCTTATTTTATTGTATAGGGTGATTGTGTTTGTGGCGAATGTATATGTTATGAGGAAGGAAATATGCGATACTCTGGAAAACACTGTAACAAATGTCCAACTTGTCCAAGTCGTTGTGAAGAGTTGAAAAACTGTGTTTTATGTCAAATGTATGGCACTGGAAACTACAGTGACAAAGAAGAATGCGCTAAAAACTGTAAGGAGTTCGTTCCCGAACCAGTTGATACAGTTATAGCGGACGAGAATGAAGACGCATGCTTTGGAATAGATGAGGATGATTGTAAATATAATTTCGTCTACTACTATAACGAAACAAATTGTTTAGTAGTACGAGCACAAAAAGAAAGGGAATGTCCACCGCAAGTTTATATGCTAGGGATAGTACTAGGTGTGATAGCAGCAATTGTTTTAATTGGACTTGCTCTGTTACTGTTGTGGAAGTTATTAACTACTATGCACGATAAAAGAGAATTTGCAAAGTTCGAAAAAGAAAGGATGATGGCCAAATGGGATACGGTAAATACTTTGAATATTTTCGTAAATTTTAATACATCATAATGAACTGAAGATTACTTTATCGTAAATTTTTCTTCCACAGGCGGAAAATCCAATTTATAAACAAGCCACATCAACGTTTAAAAATCCAACGTACGCTGGAAAATCGTACTAGAAAATCTTAATAGAACATGCAAAATCATTACATTACAGGAAATTCTGTTTTTTATACAAATTTTAAAGTGGTTAATATTTAAACTGTGAACAATGATCTTATCATGCAGAGAAGCAAGCTTTAGCAGTAAAATTAGACTAATTTTTAACATTGTAACTCGTAAGTATTTAATGGAAACTAATGTAGTATGATATTTCATCAAATTATTCATTAAGTATGATATTATGATACTGCCATATAACTTAGACTGCTATGTATGAGTGTGCATGTATGTGAGTAAGTGTAATTTATGTGCAAAGAAGATTTCTATACAATGGAATGTTGTAACGAAGAATCTCCGCACGAACTATACGGTAACATAACGATCTTAAAATTTACAGTTCATCTTACTGTGCATTTTATATACAAGTGCCTTTTGTCTCGTGACGCAAAAGTGGATATCATTTTTATATCTCCTCTTTTAGTCTGAAAATAATGAATATTGTTAATTATTTTAAGGGGTTCGTTCATGCTCTTTGAATTATTGCACAGAGCACAATGAACTCATGTTTTAAATAACATTCAAGATTTCTCATAGCTTAATATATTTCAAGTGAACTATGCAAATAAGGCACAATGAATATGTGATATTCCAAGATTGAAAACATTGTTTACAGATGTATTTTAAGAAACTATGATCGTTTCCTTCTTACGTCTTCCTTGTTCTCACACATGTTTTTAAATTTTATAGCGAATGGTATGAACATATTTGTAGAAAACTGTATAAATGTATAAAATAACAAAAAGCATAGTAATAAGCATAAATCATATTACTGTTAAGAATTACGTATGCTACGGACTTTTCATTAGATGTATAAAATACTATGTAGATGTATGACTGCAAAATTTTGTTGCCTATCTTCTGTCATCTAAAAATGGATATAAAATTAACGTAACTTTCTAAAGCGACTTAAATTAGTATACAGTATGTACTCAAAAATTAACACCATACTTTAACAATGTATTTATAAATCAGTCTTAATTATACTAGCAAGATCTGATTCATAACTTTTACACGATGTTGTTATTTAAATATTTAAAGAATACATTAAAAAAAATCAAAATTCAATCAACTAAATAATACAGATTTTTCTATAACTCAATAATAACGACCATAGTTACGATATCAGCTTATCTTACAACTTAATGGTAAGATAACATGACACATGTAGTACTGTATTATCATCTGTGACAATACATGTATTTTTGCGCGCGCATTTATATGTTGACATTGTAGCCTTGTTTTCACAAATAAACTACTTCTATATGAGTGTTCTTTATAAATTAAACTAACTAGAACGACTATTATACGCACGTATAATGAATAAAATAAATATTAATGAATACATCAATACAATTTTTCATTTAACAAAATGTTAGGACGTGTATTTTATTTCATTATCACGTGAACCAAATTTATTAAAATTCTAAATAGAATTACAGCTTAGTTAATATCGAGTTATAGAATGTTTGCCTACAAGTTGACTTTGTATGCGGTTTCATTTATTTAGAAATCTGTTTATCGATGTAGAAGATATATGTAGACACGATTTGCGCGTAAAATTGGCTGCATGATTAGAACGTAGTACAATGACGTGTCAGAGTTGCAATTTTACGATAAACAGAGCGATTTTGCACGACAAGAAAACTTTCAACTCATACGGTATTCGATGCAAACTTATCAGTGCCGCAAATTTACAGTTCGTAAAATGAATAATACGATAATTTGTAGCATCTGCAACTAAAGATACATGATGCTGTGATATGCAGAGAGAAATGATGTTACCGCAAACTATATTAATAAAGGTCACGACGGAAATAAAGTGCATCTACAACTATCTATATAATCGATGTATAATTGACTATTTTCAGGTAAAAATATTTTGATATGTTCGTATTATTTACAATTACACCTTGCTTTGAATGATTAAAGTAAAAGACCAATCTTCCAGTTAACGCGATTCATGATTCATACACTTTGTTTCAACGTGTCCTACAATACGTTACATAATGTAATCATACGAATGAACAAAATTATTAATAGTTTTACATTTATTGCGTTTACGTGCATGAGAAAGAAATTGATCGTTTTTTCTGCATAGATAAGGAAACGAAGATAATTATCAAATTGATCGAGCAGCGGCTTTTACAATTTCGCAATGTAATCGGGAGTTCAACAAATCAAGCGAAAAGATAGTCACTTGTGAAATTTCCTTAACCTTTCATGTAGATATTTCGAATGTATTTCATCGAAACTATACTGAATGTTTCGCTGCAACTTTTTTCTAACATATATTGTAGCTTGAAAAAATGGAAACAATCTTTAATTATAATAAGCATCGTCTAAATACGTATACTTTCATAAATGGTGAATTCCCGATTGAGCATTGCTTAATGACGTATAATCTGCATACAAGCGCTAAGACTTTAAGCAAACATCGTAACATTTCCAGGAACAGGGCACTCGATCATCTATAACGTTACTGATATGGTAAAAGTGAAAACTTGAAACAGCTGACCTCGTGCGATTTAAAGTAGAATTAAATGATCAGTAGTGTTGGGTATTAAAGCCAACAAGTCCATTCAAGCCTTCGATTAGCTTGAATGGCTTGTACCTATATTCAGGTGAATCGTTGGCTTGAAGCTTGATTGTGAATTGTGAGTCAAGCCAATTCAAACCAAAACTGGAACAAGGCGGAACGAAATTGAATATACGAGAAATTATCTAGAAATGTCAAATGTTATCTAAAAGGATAATGATATTGTCTTTGAAGGGTCTAGGTATGAAGCGTGCGCCGCATTTTGACCGTTCCGTCTTGTTTCAACAATTCGACTTGTATGCTTGAACAGCTTGAACGACTTGGAACAAGCTCAAAGTCGACAAGCCCGTCAAGCGCAAAGACTCAACCTGAATATAGGTACAAGCCATTCAAGCTAATCGAAGGCTTGAATTGGCTTGTTCGTTAAATACCCAACACTAAATAATCAGGCAACGAGGATAGAGTACAGGGACTATTACCTAGACAAATTTACCATTAATAGCAATACTGTAAGACCATTTGAAAGGCGACTAAGGAAAGGACAAGTTTGTGTTGTAACGATCTTTACTGAAAATATTTCTTGATTTGGAATTTAATTGAATAATTTCCTTATTAGAAAAAAATATTTGATATATTATTTAAAAACATCATACTGTATAATGTTTTCTTTCAACGTATACATATTTATTAAATGTCGAAAATATTGATGTATAATCAAAGCGGAGAAATTTGGATTATTATACACCAATCAATTTCGTAAAAAATGTGGGATAATTTTATTAATTGAAGTATGAATTTTCTTTCTGCATTTTACAGAAATCCATGTCATTGTATTTAATAAATGCTCATTTATGTTTTATATTATTATACATATTTCATATTGTTATCTTTATCCGAGATATTTTAAAACAGCTTTACAAAGTGCTACATTATATCAAATTAAACTAGATATCAATATGTAAGCACATTCCATACTGTTATTTTAATTGAAGTGGTACTAAAGTATTTTCAGGACATGCAGGGTTAAGAATAACCTACCGGTGTCACCATAGACCGAAAAGTCTCAAAATACAATCGTAATTTTCATTTCATGCATTCTGCAATTGTTGAAAGAACAGTTCAATCGTATCGTTTCATGAAAGGTAAGTCGTTGTTTCACAATAAGAGAGCTATTGAAACAATCATATCAGAAGATTAGGTATAATAAAGAAAGGATTAATTTCGTTTAAATATAATGGAGTTACAAACGTTTGACGGAGATAGACAAAATTCCGTTGCAATGAAACAAACGTCCGGAGAAATGTGTGAAAACTTGCAGCTTGAAAAACAAAATACATACACGAAAAAATCTGCTATTTCAAATCATTCGAAACACGCGTTGAAAAAACTACCATCTCCATTTAACCCTTAACTGGTACCAGGTTTACTCAGACTACAAAATATCACACTTGGATCCTTCTAAAAGTTTCAAAAATATATACCAAATTTGTATACTCTTAGATATAGAATTTAAGAGTACAATATTTAAAACAATTCAATATTTGCAATTATCGTGCGATACAGTAGCAAAAACCAATATACAAAAAATATTCTTGAGCTCATGAGAGACTTCAGGATACCATTCCAGGGTTAAAACTGGATTGTTCGAAATATGCAAAAGTCACGGTATCGTGTTTAGTACCGTGAACACGACTAAACTATAAGGATTTACGCAGTTCCACAGCACGTTGTACGCTGTGCAACGACGTCTCGTGTCGTGGTCGTCACGTGTGTTGCAGTAGACGAAGGTAGGGTATGTGGAATAGCGCTCAGGCGCGTACGTACGTCAGTAGCACGGTAAGAGATACGACGTTGACTACACACCGAGTGGTGTGGCCGAAAAAACGAAAAAAAAAAGGAAAGGACAAAGAAGCCTGTGATTTGGAAGAAGGTATACGCAAAATAAATAAGGGCGAACGTGGAATAGCGTAAGGGTGTATGGAATCTGTCTCTGTCCTTTCTCTCGGTGTCTACATATATCGTTCCCTCCTTCTTTCCTTAGTGATTCGTTCCCTCTCCGTTCCGCAGCGTTTTAATCGTTCGTTCTTTGTCAGTGATCGCTACAGTCTTTAGTCTATCCTTTCGTTTATATTCGTTTCTATCCCTCTCACTTTCCGTTCTTTCTTCTCTTTTCTATCAGGCGATATACATCTCCTTCTCTGTCTCACTTGCTCCCCTTCACACTCCGTTCTTCGAGGTAAAGCAGAAGAAACCCCCGCGGTTGCTCGTTCGTTCTCAAAAGTCTTACTCGTTGTCACGCGCTAAAAATACTCCCGCACAGTCTTCCGAGGGTGTACCATGCCAAAGGAGAACGGAAATTAGGACGACAAAAGCAGTCAACATCGACCTGGAACTGTCATGGAACGGTTTTCGAGAGTGGCATGTTATTTACGATGGAAGAGAAACGCGACACCTCATGATCATGATACAAGCGAAGTGGTTGCAGAAGATGACCGCAATACTGTTGAGATTGAACGATGCAAGAATGTCGGGTGCAATTTCGAAGCTTCGAGGCGGCTTTGCAGCATTCTGGAGAGTATCTTCCTTTGGGAGAATTCCGTGAACAGTATCTCTGTCGTCATCGTATTCAACATACTGTTTTGGTAAGTTCTCCTATTTATGATACAATGTGCATCTCTCGGTTCTAACATTACATGTTATCCGCGAAATTTGATTGTATATCAACGGGACTGCGATTTTTCTACTGTGCAACCTATAGTACTTACTCATTGCAGCCGCGCATTGCTTGAACGAAACGGGATTCGCAGCATTTAATGCAATTGCTAAACGATTAGTAATATGCGCTTCTTTCGTGTCGTCTAATTCATTGTACAGGATTTCTAAATGTTTTCCTCATTGTGAACGCGATTGTGATGGTAGCAATACCAGTACAAATTTTGCGCATTAAAGTTTGTCGCGCGATACTCGAAACAGCTGTCTTCTAATGCTTTGCGAGTTATCCGCCTTCTGGGTCAAGGTTTGTTGAAGCGTGTACGTTTCGGCATTTGATGTCAGTTGTAAATAACATTATCTATCAATACTCGAGAGCTACGATTCTTTGTGTATCTCCGTACGCGCTCGTAATCGGTCATTGATGAGTTTCATATGGAACAAATAAACGATATGTTATTAATATCGCTCCTTTCCCCGCAAATTGCATTTATTCATGACATTCTTGTTTGCCTTTGTCGCATGAATTGCATCTTCTCAGCGTATTTTCCCACCAGATCCATAGTACTGTTCTAGATGGCAGTGCATGTTAATAATTAAAAAGTATAATCGCGCGACTGATTTGACGTGTAAAAACGTGTAAATTTTCTAGAAAAAATGTTACATCGACAGGAATGACAAAAAAATGTCATAACAACTTTATTTGAAAGTAATTATTTATTAAATATTCGATTGTTTGTATTGATTTACCGAATATTATTACTATTACATGAGAAAATTAATAATATGTTTAATGGATAAAGAAATTGAATTTTATACATTAAAGTAAGCATTGACATTGTTTGTGATATTGATTTATGTGTTTGTTTCAGGGGTATTATTGTATTAGAGATCCGTGGCTTTGCTGCAGCCAGCAGTGCTGCGCTGGTCATAGTCCTCTGCTATTATACAGTAGAAGCCCACATACAAAAATGTATATTTTGTAGATCATGTGCGAAAACAGAACAATTTGAAAAAATTGGGAAAAAGGTGAAATCAGCAATTCATTCTTTGAAGCAACTGAAAAAAGATCAACCAGGAGTGGTAAACTTTCATTAGTTTATTAAACATTTCATACTATGGAAACAAGAATAAATAATACATATATTATTAATGTTGACTGATCTTTTAATAATTATTAAAATTCGTTTTAGTTTTGCACTGCAGTTTGTTCTTTCTCTTTGGGTTTGTGGATTATTGGTCGCACTATAAATGGTGTACTTCTTGCATATACAATATGCATGAGCATTTTACTTGGACCCGCGCTATTATTGAAACTACCCAACAAGATGATATCACACAGAGGTGACTAATGTAGCATTAAATAAAACAAAGACATACATTTACGATAATGATAAGAAAAATATTAGTCCTATGCACACACAAGATGATGAAATATGATGGAATATTAGTCCTATGCATAATGAATTTGCAACATATCAATTCTCTTGACAGAATGGGATAGTGAAATTGAAGAATTTTTACCAGCAGTTACTGAGGACAATCTTCAAGTTCTTGCAAGAGCAGGAGAATCTGGGGATCAATCTCCAACACCAACAAGTGTGTTGTCTGATGCTCAAAATGGTACCTAGTTTACAATTTTATATTTTATCTATTTCAATAGTATTCAGTCTAAACATGAAGTAATTAAATATCTGTTTCCAAAAATATATACTTTTAGTTTTTCACTAAACATTTTAGATGAATACAAAGGTCTTTTTATTTCAGAATTTTTCAACGATGATGACATTCTAGGTCTAAAAATGCCATCCCATGAAGATGGAAGTACTGATGGTGTAGAAGTTTCTGAATTAGAACTTAGTGTTGAAGAAACAGACATGGATGGTAGTAAATTTCAAAGTGGTCATTTTGAGAAAGAATCATCATCCGAGGGAGAAGCAGAACTTGAACCTCTTTCAAGAAAATCAATTAGTCATAGTGATGAAAGTGGTAGCGAATTCGAAATGATTGATAGTCAGGATGTTGATGACTTAGACATTGCATGAAAATTACAGACATGTGAACTGTGAAGTTATTATTATGCAGAATAGGCTTAAAGCAGTTGGTAATTTTACATCTATCGTACTGGTTCCTATTAATGTGTCATAAAGTCAACTTGTACACATTAATAAATCAATCAATTTCTGCCTTTATACAAAATATTTGTATATGTACTTTCCAATCAAAAAATTGTTTTACTATTTTTTATAAAATGAATCTGCTTTTATAATGTACATCCTTAAGAATAAATTAAGAGTATAGTTACTATACTTTCA